CAGCAGCTTGAATTTGTTGGACCTGTGAAAAAGAATAAAAATCTTGAAGTTTATCTATGTTCTTATGAAAAAATTCTTATGAAGTTAATCTTGGAGAAAGTAAAATAACAAAGAAGTTCTCTAATTTGAAAACTTCGATACAAGTGTAGTACTGTAACCTTGAAGTTTATCTATGTTTTTATGATATTGACTTTAATCTGCACGGAAATGGCATGTTTGTGTGTGTTTGGAGGCTAATTGGGTGCTACAGAGGTAAATTTATGCTAGAAATGGAGAAAGAGGCCGCTGCAACAAAAATGGAGAAAGGAAAAGATAGTATGTTGTAGGGTTTTGTACTAAGGGGTAATTTTGGGATTAAGAAAAATTATAACGGATAAGAATGTAATATACTAGGTCAAAGCAATATGGCTTTTAAGCCAATTTCAAAAAAGTTGGGTTTTCCAACTTATTGGTTTTGGCTTTTTTTTAAGCAGATTTTAACTTTTTTAAGCTCTTTTTTTTTGTCAAACACTTCCTTAGAGCGACTAGTCTTTTGACTTCTTTCGCATTTGTCAGCTGGTCTGGGATGTCCTCTATGGCTTTGATCATGTCGAGATTGATTTCGATCTCCCTTTGTGACACCAGGAAACCCAAAAATTTACCGGAGCTGACTTCGAATGCACACTTTTCGGGGTTAAGCTTCATGTTCTACTTTCTTAGGATATCGAAGGTTTCCTGGAGCTGTTTCAAATGGTCACTTGCATTCAAAGACTTAACCATCATATCATCTATGTACACTTCCATTGTTTTTCTTATGCTTTTCGAACATTTTGTTCGCGAGCCTCTGATAAGTGGCTCCGGCATTTTTAAGCCTGAAAGGCATCACATTGTAGAAATATGTGCCAAAGTTCGTTATGAATGAAGTTTTTCCCTGGTTTTTCGGGTTCATCTTAATCTGATTGTACCCGGAATAGGCATCAAGGAAACTCATTAACTCATATCCGGCCATTGCATCAATTATTTGATCAATATTTGGCAGTGGGAACGAGTCTTTTGGGCACACCTTATTCAAACCCTTATAATCTATGTTATCTACCCAGTCGAGATACTTTACCTCCCGGATTGAACTGATGTCGAGTAATCGAGTTACCTCTTCTTTACCAAACCTATTTCTGACCTCGGGAATAAGGTGTTTCTTTTGCCTTACCGGCGGGATGCTTGGGTCTAGGCTTAGCTTGTGCACAGCCACCTCTAGTGGATACCTGTCATATCCGCGTGCAACCATGCAAAACAATCAATATTAGTTTTAAGAAATTTAATAATTTCTGACTTGAGCTCGGGGTTTAGTCCTGTACCCAAGTGAAACTTCCTCTCTAGAAACTTCTCGAACAATTCCATTTGTTATAGCTCTTCCGCCGTGGATTTGGTTGTGTCTGTCTCTTCTGGTACCTGAAAATATCTTGGTACCTGGTGGGGTTCTGACGACTCCTCCCCTTTGTCATCTTCGTTTGGTTCGGGAGTAGGCGTCGATTTCTGTAATTGCTATGTCGCGTGTTCCTTCCCATTAATTCTAATCGAGATCGCGTTCATTTCTCTTGCTGTCGGTTGATCTCCTCTTATTTGTTTGATTCCCTCTGGAGTTGGAAATTTTATAAGTTGGTGATATGCTGACGGTACGACCTTCATCTCGTGTAGCCATGGTCTGCCAAGAATTATATTGTAGCCCATGTCGTCGTCTACTACTTTAAATAAGGTTGTCTTCATGACTCCTTCGGTGTTCGTGGGCAGTAAGATCTCCCCTCAGGTTGTCACACTGGCTAAGTTGAACCCGACGAGGAGTTTTGTTCCCGGAACGATGCTTCCGGTTAGTTTGGCTTGTTCCAGCACTCTCCATTAAATGACGTTGGCTGAACTTCCTGGGTCAACCAAAACACGTTTAATCTTAAAAACTAAAACGTTAAGAGAGATTACCAGGTCATCATTATGTGGCAATAGAAGTCCATCGGCATCCTCTTCAGTAAAGGTGATGTCGTCCTCGGTGACTTCCCGGAGTCTATTGCTATGAGTCACCGATACCTTTGTCTTTTTTGCTGCTGAAAAGGTTACACCGTTGATCTCATTCCCCCCGAAAATCATGTTGATGGTTAGTCGAGGAGGATCTTACCCTGCCTTCGAGGGCTCAGAATTATCCTAGTTGCGGTTGTTATTGTTCTTAGCCCGGTCACTTAGAAATTCTTAGAGATGGCCATTTTTCAACAGCGTTGCTACCTCCTCGCGCAGATGCCAGCAGTCCCCAGTCCGGTGGCCATTAGTCCCATGATATTCGCACCATAAATTAGGATCCATCTAGCTAGAATCAGATCTCATTGGCCTCGGGAACCGTTCTTCTCTGATGTTTCTCATTGCCGAGACCAACTCCACTACACTAACATTGAAATTATACTCTAACAACCTGGGATTGGTGAAATTCTGGGAACCCGATACCTCTTTGTCTTGCAATGACCTGTTATTCTGGCTGCGGTCAGTTCTTCTATCGGGGGCGAACCTATCCGCTGATCGGAACCCTCTACTATCGCGTCCTTCGCCCCTTCCGTAGGGCAAAAAAAGGCCCTTAGAAGATCGCCGATATGCATCAAAATCATCCTTCAATTTATCCCTGTTCTTTTCTCGACCCCGACCCGTAATTGATGCTTGGAACCCGAGCTGATCATGTTCTTTCTTATCTTTGATTCATAACGGTTATGGACATCCGCCTATGTAGTTGCCTGGAACAAGAACAGTCTTTCCTTCAGTTTCCGAAAGGCGTCGAAGCTCCTCGGGTTCAACCCTTTAGTAAATGCATCAGCCGCCCATTCATCTAGCAGGGCTGGTAGCAACATCCTTTCCTTCTGAAACCTGACTATGAACTCACGCAGCAATTCAGTCTCTCTTTGCGAAATCCTGAATATGTTCGCCTTCCGGGCATGGGCCTTGATGAAAGAGTCTACGAGCATCTCAAAGAAATCTATTAAGTGTTCGGGTAAGAGTGAGTACCATGTAAGGGCCCCCTTCATGAGGGTTTCTCCAAACTTCTTCAGTAAGACCAACTCAATCTCATGTTGAGCCAAGCAATTTCCTTTCACCGCCGTTGTATAGGTGGCGATGTGCTCTAGAGGGTCCGAAGTTCCATCATATTTTGGTACATTTGACATTTTGAACCGCTTCGGAATTAACTATGGTATTGCTCTCGCTTTGAACGGCAACTGGGTGTATTTCTTTGAGTCCGGACCCTTCAGTACTAGCAGTGCCCCCGAAATTTGGACCGTTCGAGCATTTATTTCCCTCATAAACCGCATGAGCTCAATTTTGAAAGGATCATTACTATTGTCGTTGCTAGATCCGATGTCGATCCCCCCGACCCCATCAAAGTTAATCTCACCCCTTGGGGTGTTGTTATCAACCCTTTGCGCTGTTTGATTTGCGGGAGCACTGGGAGGAATTAGGCCTCTTCCATTCGCGTTGTTGGAAGCACCCGACAACGCTTGCCTTAGTTCTGTCATGGCATGGTCTTGCCATCAGAGATGCCCCATGATGGCCTTTTGTTGTTCTCTCAAGATCCTCACCATTTTTGTAACGTGCTCGTCTTCAACATCATCCGGAGTCACCTCCCGTACGTGTCGGGGATATCGCCCTCCATGGAATAGAGTTGCTACGTCCTCCTCGTTTCGGTCACTGATCGAACCCTCATGTTGAGGCAGATTCTCTTGCGTCTCAATGTTATGTGTGATGTTGACATCATTAGCTGCCATTTCCCCCCAATTTTTGTTTTGAAACGAAGAATCAAACAATTTAGTAATAGATGCAAGGATCAACTCAATTACGCAGCTGTCTAAGCCCCAGATGGGCACCAAACTGTTTACCTGTGGAACGGTACATTTAAATTTATAGCGTGGTTTATAGACAAGCGAATTGATTTGATCCCAAATAATAAATAAATTAAATAAAATGCAAGACTTAGCATTGAATCGAGATGAAATAACAGATAGCTTGGTTACGGGAGCAAGGCTTCCGAAGGCAGCAATATGAATAGTGTTAGACAGAAAATAAAGTATTATTTAGCTTGGAATAGTGTGTAGCATAAGTTTGTCAGAATTTTTGTGTGTTACAATGGTTGTTGAAGCCACTATTTATAGCTATACCTAGGGAACAAGGTCCTAGGGTCAAGCCCCTCTTAAATGATAATAATGGGGGTCATTGATAAATATGTAACGACATACCATGAATGCCAAAATTCCCCGCAACGGCTGTATTAATTAATTCTGAGGAATATTCTTCATTAAATATCATCCGGTGACAAATATTCCTTTGTTTCAATTGACTGTGTTCCCTTCGGGATCTTCCCGGTGCCAACCGAAGTTGTTGTACCCGAACTTGGTTTCTGCTCGCTTCATCTTCCATCTGTCTCCGATTCCACGTGTCACGCTATCGTACGATCATTTAATATAAACAGATTTTACCATATACAAAATTTGCTATGAATAATTATATATAATTAAAAATTAATTAATTTTATGGTTTATAATCAATATAGGATATACAATTAGTGCACAAAATATAAACTTATTGTTTGAGAAAATTAAGTTTTAGCCTATCGTTTTAATATTTCCTCCGTCTCAGTTTACTTGTCGTATTTTTCTTTTACACGCCTCTTAAAAAAATATTAAATATAAGAGATCTTTGATTGTCTTACCCTTATTTATATCTTAAAATATAATATCTCTTCATTTAACATTATATAATTGAGGTATTTGTAATCTTCAAAAGCAATTAATATTAAGGGTAATATAGGGAAAAAATTAATTTAGTCATGAACTTATAAGATGATAAATATTTGAGATAACTATTTTGAAAACTACGATAGATAATATGAGAAAGGGGAAGTACCAATTTCAAATATCTATATTTTTGTTTCTAACAAAAAAATTCTGATCTTAGTAAATATTACAGAGAATGCAATAGGATAATAAAACTGAGGGAAATAGAGGTTTATTGGCTCGGCGGAAATTGCACTTTTTGGAATCTTACTTCTCCTCGAGAAGCACAATTTTTCCAAATTCATACCAAACTCCACCCTCCCTACCTATTTTCCTCTTTCCTCCTCCAATTTACGTCTCAATTTCTTTCCTATAAAACCCTAACATCTCCCCTAATTCTCAATTTCCCAATCATTTCATTCAATCAATCAAATTATCAAATTCCCAATTTCTATTTCTCTCATTCATATGGAAGCTCCAATTCTCATTTCTTCAATCCCCAATCTCTTCTCCTTCTTCACTTTTTTTCTCATCATTTACCTCGTTGCTTACTTCATCATCTTCCGTTCATGGAAGCCCAAGCTCCGTCCAGAAGCTTCCAGCTGCGCCATCTCCTTACTCCACGGCACCCCCGCCGTATTCTTTGCCGTTACTTCCCTGCTCGCCGACCCAGATCGTGACTTTCACTCGCCAAACACCCCTTTACAAAACCTCGTCCTTGACTACAGCATTTCCTATTTCTTAATGGACCTGACCCACTACCTGATTTTTTACCCTAGTGATGTTCTCTTCATTGGCCACCACCTCGCTACCCTGTTCGTGTTCGTCACGTGCCGGTACGTGGTGTACCACGGCGCGTATGCGATTCTCGTTCTTTTGATTCTTGCGGAAGTTACTAGCTTCATACAGAACACGTGGACTCTCGCGAATGCTCGGAAATCGGACGTGGAGTTCGCTGCTAAGGTTTATGCTTTACTTTCGCCTCCGTTTTATGTTCTGTATTCGTTGGTCAGAGGTATTGCTGGGCCGTATTTTGTGTATAGGATGTTTACGTATTATCTTAGTGGGGCTGCTAATAATGTGATACCTAGATGGATTTGGATATCTTGGGTTTTTGTTGTTGTTACTGCTATTTCCGTTAGTATACTGTGGATTTCCAATCTTTGGGTTGAGTTGTATAGAGAAAGGAGTAGGGAACTTGAGAGAAAAGTTAGGTGAGTTGAATACTGTGTGTTTACAGATTAACCATATATGGGTTTGATTGGATGAGATGATAATTGAAGAAAAATCAAATCTTTTGTTGTTTGTGTATTCTCACTTGTTGCATTATGCATTTGTGGTGTATACTGGTGTTGCTGCTGCGTCAGAGCCAGGAATTCTAACTTGGGGGATTAAAAAAAATGCAAAAATGCTATACCTAAAAGATTATGTTAAGAGGATTCAACAGTTTATATATATGAGAAAGTTTGCTTTTTGCCCTAATTGCACAGTATAATTTCTGGACGAAAGGGTGTTTAATTGAATTAACTTTCTTACCTTTAACTCCGCTATTCGGTGTTGGAAGGCATAACTTCAGGATTATGTTTTCTGTATAGCTTTTTACACTCTGAAATCAGCGACAAAGAGTAGGTAGAAAACAATAAGTGATTTGCAGAATTAAATTGAAGGTTTTGGTTAACTTTGAGATTGATGGCAGAATCCTCTGAATTGTTCTTTTGATGCACCAGCCTATATTGTTTTATATTACTAGTTTGGAGCTTCATTTGCTGTTAATGATAGTTTTCTGGTTAGGTCACCTTCAAGAGAATATGGTTAATTAGCATTGTCTCAAAAGACTTGTAATAATGTCCATTATTTAATCATAGATTCTTTCGTGTTGGGTATGCCTAATTTGATAGTTTTGCATTATTGATTTGGTGGAATGAAGTGGCTGTTTAAAATTTTAGGTGCTATGCATTCATTTTATTATTCATCAAGGTTTGAGCCTCCCCTGTTAGGAAGCCTCGGTCAATCCTATATATGAGGTGAAATATGTTCTTAAAACGACTGGCCTGTGATGTGTAATTTAAATAAACTTGGCTGTTTTCTCTGTTAAAGATTGCATTGATCTCTAACTGGTGGAGATAGGTGTTTGGCAATGGAAGTTTAGATGGAGAAGAATGTTCACTCTTCTCACTTCTATTGTTGCCCTGGGTGGGGTGGAGGCAAAGGCGGATCTAGGATTTTTAGTACATTGGCGCACTACTAAAAAAATGGAGGAAAAATGTATTTAGTGGGAATTGATCCTATTCCTCTTGGTAAATAACCCAACCTTCAATAAGTGCTCCATTTAGCCTTCTTGGAGCATGGTGCCAACAGTCAATATTATATCAATTTTAGAAAATATGTACATAAAATATCTCGTGCCCCATAATTATTCGCCCCTGGGTTGTGGGTGGATGGGGGTAGAAAGATGTTAGCCTTGCTTAGAGATATGATGATGCTTCATCAATCTCAAGACTTGTAGGCTGAAGCATTTTAATTGTTCTCTAGAGGTTGCTAACTTGAGGCTGCATCTGCACTCCTGTCTCTTTATTTGTTGGTGATTCTAAACAATATTGGTGATTCAAAGATGCATAATTGCTCTGCTTCCTGCCAATGTTACAAAACGCATGTTGTAGAAATCAATAGTTAATTGACTTGATTTATCATCAAATGGACATCACGAATAATGACAACAATCTGAATCAATATTATTTTGTAATTGAGGTATAGAAAAATGAACTGATATGTAAGCTCCCCTTTTGGTCATACAATTTTTTTTTTTTTTTTTTTTTTTTTTTTTTTTTTTTTTTTTTTTCAAATTTTGTTTTCAAATATCTGTTTGCTTATAGATTGTAATTATTTTTTGGCCAATTTTGAAAACAAAATCTTCAAATCCCAACAGCTTAGTTTTTGAAGTTTTCTACTCACAAAACTTTAAATTCTTTTCAAGTAAAATGTATGTCCAAACATAGTAACTTTTAAAAATTATTTTTTATGTTATTTTCAAAAACTGAGTTTTTGAAGTTTCAACCAAATCTATGTGCAAATGCTAGCTTAGAATCCATGCACAGCCGGCGAGCCAGTTCGTTTATCTCTGCCTTGTTCTTCTGTTACAGTTCATATGTCAATGGATTTTTGGCAAGAACTTAAGTTCCCCATTCCAGTTGAAGAGCAACAGTTGTAAATAAGGAATCTAGCGGTGTCCTTGAAGCTAATGATTCGCAATGCAGTATTCACGCTTAAACTAGTGAACTGGTTGACGGGAAAGCCTTGTTCTCAGGCAGAGCTGTACGACATGGCTGTAATTCTTAGGCATAAAATATTTAATTTAATTTGTTATTATTTTTTTTTTGGCAAATGGTAAGAGCTTTTAGAGTTTTAACTTGGGATAATTTACGCAAAGTTCCAAGTATTCGAAAAATATTACCCGAAAAACATACCTATTTCAAAAGTATTACTACGATGTAAACTTTCAGCGAAAAATATTTACAAAATAGCCAGCATGTAGGTACATTGGATATCGTCATAGTCAAAATTCACAAGTTGTTTACCTTAAAAGATATAACAATGTGATTCTGAGTGTCATATACTATCAGTATACAATTATATGAAATACATACCACAATGATATACAACGTACAAAACTATATTGTATAATTTTTTAATGGGCGAATTTTATAAATGAGTAATTCTTCTAGTCCATCTGAGTAATTGCGAATTTAGAATTTTTCCCATTTAACGTTGAGCGAACAAACAAGACGTGACAAAATAAAAAAAATTTGCCGAAGCTGCGCAAAACGTTGTTAACAGTTTTGTCCTGTAAAATTCCTTTAGTAAAAAAAGTCAGTTAAAAGTTGCAGCACATGAGGGCGTATCTGCTTTTGTATTTTGGCCAGGCAAAGGGGTATGAAATTAGTGGTACAGACAACAACAGGTAAAGCATAATATACTTCCATTAAGTAGGGCGCTTAGCTGCTTATCTGCCTTGTCTTGGGGAAAAAAGACTGCCGTTTCAAATCTTTCTTTTATATGGTAAGGTTTATTAGTAAGGTACCGAGATGAAATACAAAAGACCTGCAGGGGATGGCCATGCAGTCAGTTACATCCTTTTTACCAATTCTAGGAAATCCATACTCCAAATCTGCGATTCTCTCATGTTGCCAGCATTCCATCAGATCTCTTACCTTCAGTCGCATTACACAATAGATTCCTCATATGTTTAGGAACAATTCCCAGCATTCTCTAGTTTCTATTGCACAATAGGAATCCTCTTTCACAGGTCCCTTAGTCTTCCAAATCGACTTCCTAGGCCAGTTATCATCCCATTGACCACCTTCCTTCATTAATAAACTATAACAATTGCTGATAAAGAAACTCTTGTCTTTACTTGCTCCCCAACTGAGAGTATCCTGTTTGTTTTGAATAATCTGCAAGGCTCCAGCATCTGAAGTAAGTGAAAAAAAGTCTTTTACTTTCCACTCATTCAAATTTCTCCTCAAACTTAAGTGCCATCCTGTGCTTGAAACTTAAGCATCTGACACAATACCATACTTGTTGGTGGAACAGTTGAACAGAACTGGAAATTTGGACATTAAACTATCATCTCCAGCCCAAGTGTCTGCCCAGAAGCTGAAACTCCATATGTTGGCAGAATTCATCCCATAGCCAAAAAGAAGTAACAAACACTCTGCATCCTAGCCACGGAGGTACAAATGGTAACTTGCCTGCTTATGAAGAACAGTGGTTTTAGGCAAAATGGTCATTTTCTGCTCCCTCTCTTGCCAACCCCAGAGTTCTCTCCAGCAATCTAAACAAAGCAACTCAAAAGAGATCAGCTCCTCGTATTCACGGTTATCTAAGCAACATCCACAATTGATACAACGTTCAATGCATATAGTACAAGCCCTGCATAACTGAGTGGTAGATTGCTTCCTTATGCAACTCTCTGAGGGGCAATCATAAACAAGTCTAAGTTGCTGGCATTTCGGGCAAACTTCAATATCCAAAGCGCAGTCATCATCAGAATGGCCACTACCCAAAAACCGCGGCTTACGAGTAGTTGGCAGCTTGCTATTATCTTCACCCATTAAGAGCTTGAACTCTTCAAAGTGCTGGTTTGTCACACCAAAGACTCCATGAATCCCTATATACTTAAGTCTGTTTTTTTCACCAGACTTGAAGACTTTTAAGTTAGACAGAATACCATCAGCGGTGAGTCTAATGCACCCTGGAACACTTAACTGCATATACACAGGCAAACATGAAATCAGAAAACTAAAATAAGTTAGAAGTAATAGAATCGAATTGAAAACTAAATACAAGGTATGAAGCACTTTATAGTAAGAAATTTAATGGAGTAAATGAACTTCCCAAGAGGTTAAAAGGAGGCGAGGTGAATGGCAGACACTTCAGTATAAAGACTACCAAAAACTGGTTAGACATAAGACCTTTCCATTCTGGTTACAATTTGTCACTTTCTAAAGTTGTGTATATGAAATTGTTAATGCCATCTACCAGCATAAGCATATCAATTTAAAAATGAAACCAATTAATTATTTCTATTGACAGATTACTAAACACGGCACGTGTTGAAGAGCAGTATTAGACATAATAGATAACATAAAAAGCATTTCCGTGGGGAAAGATCAATAGGTGTAAAATAATGAAATAGATGAATGAAACAATGAGGAATCTCAGCACACACTTCTAGTTAATAGTTGTACTGGTGTTGGATGAAATCAAAGTTACAAAGTTCAATGAATGTCCTATGGACTGTAAAATATTTTTAAAACAACTATAATACATCAATTCTAAGCTTGGATTGGTACACGAATCCTAATAGTACCACTTTGCTTCATCTGGACCCCCTTTATACCCCTTTTATTTCAATACTCAACAATCTGGGTTCCTACAATAATTAATGTCTCTACATTTTCTATTGACATATAAATCTTTAAGCATACAAACGAGACTCCTAAAAATACCAGGCCTAATGTAAATGTACCAACTTTTTTACTTCTGTTGTTTTCTGTTTCTGTAAGTCCTCATGGAACGGAGGAATTTGAGATCTTTTGAGCAACTTACCTCTTTGTAATTTTAGGTTTACATCATTCCCCATCATAGTGCCATAATTACAGACAAGAACAGTTAGAGATCTACGTTGAACATGACCAAATCATCTCGTGGTGACTTCCTCTCGTTTATCTCTATGTCAGCTACTTGCCAATCCATATGATGTGATCATTTCTATATCACAGCACATTTAGCTTTACGTCCACATTTCTCCAATACTCATCTTGTGGAAAATTTAGGTCTTAGAGGTCATACATTAATTTCCATATGGTATTGCTAGTTCTATACCCATTCTACTAAACTTGCCTTTCATTTTGGTATGTCTCTTCCTATTAATGAAATCGAGAACTTTAAAATTATGATACGAGACCAATAAAGTGAGCACAGAACATAGTAACAGCACAACTATAATAAAAGCATGATATGTATCGTGCTACTCTTAATTCAGATATGAGACTTGCCAATCATGCCAACTTTACTTACTATATGATGACACCTTATAAGACACAAATTGAGCAAAACCATCAAGAGATAGTGACAAGATTTAGCTAGGTAAAACAATACTGACCTTTGTCAGGCTGGGATTCCTCTCAAGTACATGCTTCAAACCAAGAATAGTGATATTTAAGCAGTAAACGAGACTAAGAGAATGAAGATGACCTTGAGCCCTATTTGTCAACTTTATAAGAATATCATCTGTGATGTTAGGATTAAGTGGATAATCAATGTGAATACTTCTCCACAAAAGTGGATCTCCTCTAACAGCATCACGTAAAGATTTGCATACTCTTTCTACAGCAAGAAGGTCCCTCAAGCCTAAATAACCAAGGGCCAGCAAAAGTGCATCTGAAGGATCACCTCCATCCATATCAGACTGATCATTAATTCCCCCTTGATCATTATCCATTGAATCATCTCTGAGAATCCAATACTTCTCATAACTAAAACCCATAATCTCCGCATTCCCATTCATCAGACCATGGTCACCTTCCAATCCCTCACTGAGATCCATTCCAAACAGCTCAAAATTTCCATCAGTCTTACCTGCATCCTGATGAATTCTCACAGTGCCACTCAATACAAAATCAAGATCCACAAGCAAATGATCGTCCACCCCCTTAACCTCAATCTTATCTGACATAAACCCAAGAGTCTTTAACCCAAAATCATTCTCAAGATCCTCTAAGAAACCAGCGATGGTCGCGAGACCAGTGCCTTTGGTTGTAATATCCATATTAAAGGGATCCTGAGGCAACAAATCAGCAATATCATCCGAACCCTTATTAGCTTTTCCACCTTTATAATCATAAAGCTCCCCCATTTCACAATTCAAACACCAGAAATCAGCAAACCCACCCACTTTATCATTTAAGCATCTCTCCACGGAACACCCATTATCAAACCCGATCCTAGTTAAGTATCCTTCTTCTTGATTCAAGGCCATAGCGCCCAGGTGCAGATCTAGCTTGTAACCTAGGCGAACCCAATAGCTTTTGCCCAAACACTGTATATGTATTAAGAAATGCACTAACTATCTATAAATATTTGACTATGAACCCAGTTATTACATATCAACTTGAGGTTGTGGTAGGAACAATAAACTTCAAACCCTGAATAGCGTCTACTTAAAACAGTCACCAATAACCTAAAAAGGATAACAATGATCACCCACCTAGGCTAAAAGAGAACACCAAAACCGTCAATTCTCAAATGCAGATTAAAACAAAAACACCAAATAATTCCCAAAGTTTCTTGTTTAACATAAATTCAGAAACTTGTTGCAGCTCAAATATATAAGCGAAATTAAAACAAATACGAATAGGAAAACGAGCGGATAGAATGGATTAATATACCGGAATTGGCGCAGTAAAACTAGTGGTAATAGAAAGCGCAGCTATAAGACGCAATACAACAATATACAGAGGGTAGTATGTGAGAAGATTGAAATCATACTTGATCTTGGAATGGGATAAGTAAGGAGGAGGATGATAAAGAATCAAATCCAAATCCCAGAAGGATTTGAAATAATGAACTTTTGAACTATTACACGCGTGTTACGTAGACGGTAGGTGTTGTTTTTGTGTCTGAGAGAGAGATAGACGCTTTATGAATCTACGATGTCTTTTCTTGGTGGGAACATGTGGCGCGAGAGATTAGTGTTCCTCTTAGAGTTTTGGGCTGGTTAATACATGCTCCTAATTTGGGCCGAATTTATTAAATGAAATCTTTACCTAAATAGCCGGCGGAATATTGTTTACTTTTACTAGTCAGTATATACAAATTAATTATAAATAATATATATTTTTTGCCGCTCTCAAAAATAGTAACCGATATATATATATATATATATATATATATATATATATATATATATATATATATATATATATATATATATATATATTATGCACTTTTGGCTAGCAAATGTAATTAGTTTCGGCGGACCAATTAATTTTGTGTTTTGCCCTAAATTATATACTGATTATACATGATTACATACATTATATATGAACTATATATCCGCTGATTATTTCTAATTTAAGCAACTGGGTAGACGGCTATTTGCGTTAATTCTTCTTATCTAAAATTGGGCTTACTCCGGAGTTTGTACTTATACATAAAGGGTATTTTCTTTTGCCTAGAATTAAATTAATGGTTCCTTATACAAGTTATTAAGTACTACTGGTATTTAATTTGATTGCAGGACTTATTACTTTCTTTTGATTAAATAACCGCTTTATGCGTGTCAATTAAAGTATATGAATCTGAAAAAATCTCTAGCACATAGATTAGCTTTACTAGTTCTCGAGATTTTTATTTAAATAAGGTTCAAGATTGAGACATAATTATTGTCCTATGGTTACTGTTCATATAATTTGTAGAGTAAATTCTACTTCGTTAATTAATTTTAGAACCTTAATTCAGCATATTTTGCCTAGTCAATAATTATATCATTTTCAAAGATGTTGGCATCTGCAGACTTGCCACTAATAATTTTTAAATATCCCTTACTATGCTTAGACAGTATAGACTAGTAGAGCACTGCGTAATTGATAATCTAATACAAATGTTTTATATGTTCGTCTTTTTCGAGTTAACCTAGCAGTAGAAATTCAATTAAAGCCCTCAAAGATAGCTCCTTTTGGTATATTATATTCGTCATTTCCATTTCTTGAACCTCTAGGATAGCTTCCTTTGATGCCAAGGCAACATCACATCATGGCAACTGTAAACAGCTAGAATAATTTGCTTTCTTTTTTCGTTTTGATGACTTAGAGGCCACGGTGAGAAGATCAAAGACATGGACGTGTACTTTTATAATTACAAAAAAAAAAAAAAATGGATCTTTCACTTACAGAGTTTAAGTTTTGTGCATTTTTCGCATATAGATCTTTTACACCGTTAGTTTAAGTTTAACTTGTATAGATATTTTATAACCGTTTGATTAAGTTGACTTACAACAACACTTAACTTCAAAAACAAAATAATAACCTATTGGAGCCGATTAAATTAAACTAATAGCGTAAAAAAATCACATTGTCAGGGTAGGCAATTTAAATCCTTATCCAGTTTACGTGAGATATGGATTTCTCATTCCAAGAGTGTGGGATAATACTTGGCCAGCAAGGTGTTCTTTCCTTGATTGTTCTACTCATACACACACTTCTTTTAGAAGTCCTTTAGGCTAAGGAATGGAATAAGACTTTTGAACGAATGGAATAATACTTTTTTTTTTTTTTGGTAATTGAGAATTTTGTTAATCACCAAGTGTATATGTATGTATACGGGTAAAACCGAGACTAGTGAGCATTCCGATTTTCCGGTTGGGTCAAACGAAGCAAGGACATAACTACATGGAATCGGGATCGAAGCTAAGAACCTCCAGTACTAAGGTCCAAACGAAGTGCTTACCACCGGGGCCATCGAGACCTCCCCCCCTACCCCCGCGAATCTGGTACAGGCTCCAAAACCGAAGGCTCAACCAAACGGTTGCACACGACTAACGAGGGCCCAACCGGATATCACGGCGTGGATCTCAACTCCTATCGATAGCGGATCAGTGATTAACGGGAAAGAAGATTTTTACCTTTCTTAAAATTGTACTTAGGGTAAAACTCTCCTACTATATAAAGGAAAAGTTTATTGTTCAATAGGACATTGTAACACGCATATCAAGGCAATATACACTTAATTTCTTTGCTTCTAAAGTTATTCAAAGTTCTTATTTTTGCTCATAGTTCTTCATAAATATTTGGCTTCGAATCGAGAACAGAACAATTACTAAGGTCTGACCCGAGCTCGGATCTGACATCTCTACTGGTTTGGTTATTTATTCTATCTTCAATTTATTTTATTTAACGTTATTGACCACTTGTATTAAATTAGTTCACATATCCTCAAAATCGCATATAAGTTCAATTGTTGCCCATTTTAAGGGTAAACAATTTGGCGCCCACCGTGGGGCTAAGGATAATAGTAGTAGCTTGATACAAATCTCCATAACACACTCTATTTCACACTTGTTCTTTAAGGTCTCAATTTCAGGTTAGCTTAAAAATGTCAAATTTTCAATCCGCTCACGTTAACGTTGAGGATGGGTCTGGCCATCATAGCGAAAACAACAATATGGCGCTTAGCAATGAGGTGCCCCTACTGATCCCAACGGGGTCCCGATCGTAGACCCAATCGATGCTAACTCACATGTGGCCATTGATGCCAACCTTCCTACCGACCCCGAAAACAGCATTCGCGGAGGAGCCCGATCAACAACTCAGAGAGCACCCGAAGGCGAAGGCGATGGGGTCAGTCTACGATTGATCTTTGAAATGCTACAAGCTCAGCGGGCGGCGATAGCACAACTGCAAAACCAAAGCCGCGCCCCAGCAGAGTTGAGCCCGAATTGCCTCGGGAAAACACCCGAAGAAATGAGCAGATCACCGAAAGACCGGGTAAAATTGAGTCCGGTGTCAGCCCTGAAGTGATGAAAATGCTAGAAGCATTAACGAAAAAGTGGAATCTAGTGAAAAGAAAATCAAGGCAAATGACAAGAAGGTAGAGACATACAATTCCCGAGTTGATCAAATCCCAGGAGCGCCTCCAATACTAAAAGGCTCGAACTCCAAGAAATTTGTCCAAAAGCCTTTTCCTCCGAGGGCGGCTTCGAAACCAATCCCGAAGAGGTTTTGTATGCCCGACATTCCAAAATATAACAGAACCACGGGTCCAAATGAGCATGTGACTTCTTACACATGCGCCATTAAGGGTGACGACTTGGAAGATGATAAAATCGAGTCGGTGATGTTAAAGAAGTTTAGGGAGAGTCTGTCAAAAGGAGTGATGATATGGTACCACAACTTGCCCCTGAACTCCATGTTTCGTTCGCTATGCTCGCGAATGCTTTTGTAAAAGCTCATGCCGGAGCCATCAAGGTTGAGACCAAAAAATTGGACCTTTTCAAAGTTAAGCAAAGGGACAACGAGATGCTCAGGGAGTTCATGTCAAGGTTTCAAATGGAACAGATGGACCTGCCTCCGATTGCGGACGATTAGGCCGTTCAGGCATTTACTCAGGGACTCAACCCCGAAGCTCCTTGGCTTCGCAGCAGCTGAAGAAAAACTTGGTAGAATATCCGGCAGTAACTTGGGCCGACGTCTACAACAGGTGCCACTCAAAAATCAGAGTCGAGGACAATCAACTCGGGGCCCCCTCCGGATCCATTTATCCCATCAGAACTAATGACAGGTCTAAGAGAGTCGTCGACCATGAACCAAGATCTAACAGAGACCGATTTCAACCGTACATCGGAGATCGAAGGAGTAACAGATCTAGGCGTAACCCTATAAGAAACGAGAAGAGGAGCGATCGAGGCCACAGTAGTCGGGGACTCATGAGCAAAAACGATTTTGATAGGCCACTCGGGGCCAGGGAGGCACCCAGGTTGTCGGAATATAACATCAATGTCGATGCTTCCAGCATCGTATCAGGCATCGGGCGCATCAAAGATACCAAGTGGCATCAGCCACTATAGTCTGATCCTACCTTGAGAGACCCTAACTTGATGTGTAATTATCATGACACTCATGGCCACAGGGCTGAGGACTGCCGGCAATTAAGAGAACAAGTCGCCTGGTTATTCTATAACGGGCATCTCCAGGAATTTCTGAGCGATCGATCCAAAAATCACTTCAGGAACAGGGACTCCAACAAACAGACCGAACAAGAAGAACCTCAGCACGTCATCAACATGATCATCGGAGGAGTCGATGTCCCCCAGGGACCAATGCTAAAGCGCACTAAGGTGTCTATCACAAGGGAAAAACGAACCCGAGATTATATCCCGGAGGGAACCATTTTGTTCATCGATGAGGACGCCGAAGGCATCGTACGCATAATGATGCACTAGTAATATCTGTACTTATAAAAAGTCTCGAGTTAAGCGTGTGTTGATTGATCTAGGTAGTTCGGCCAACATAATTAGGTCAAGGATCATAGAGCAGTTGGGTCTACAAGATCAAATAGTGCCAGCAGTCTGGGTTTTAAATGGATTCAACATGGCATGCGAAACTACCAAAGAAGAAATAACCTTGCCAGTAAATACCGCCGGGACAATTCAAGATACCAAATTTTTATGTGATCGAGGGGGATATGAGGTATAACACCTTATTCGGAAGGCCTTGGGTTCATAACATGAGGGCAGTGCCCTCGACACTACACCAGGCACTGAAGTTCCCCACACCAGGAGGAATCAAGACAGTTTACGGAGAGCAGCCGGCCGTAAAATAAATGTTCGCAGTCGATGAGGTGTCTTGATGTCCGCACTCTCGGCATCAAAGTACGCGGAGCTGGTTAGGAAGGGAGAAACTAAATAGCAATCACCGATACCGGCCCCGACCAAACCGGAGAAGCAAGGAGCAGGCGAGGATGATGATTACGGAGTCCCTAGGTCGTTCATCGCCCCTGATTTTTCCGATGCTACCAAGTCGATGGTCGAGGAGCTGGAGCAAGTCATATTGATCGAACACTTACCCGATTAGAAGGTATACTTGGGCATGGGGTTAACTCCCGAGCTCAGGAAAAACCTTATTGAATTCCTTATAGCTAACATAGACTGTTTCGCTTGGTCCTATCTTGATATGACAGGGATCCCGCCAGAGATAACCACTCATAAG